TAATTATATAGCTATGCGCTAGAAGTCTATTTATCTAGTCTATGCTATATTAGGGCCCTAATAGGTTACCTAGTAGGTTAGGTCTAGGTTAGAGTGGGTTATGCCGAAGTCTAGTAGTTATAAACTGGTTTGTATAGAAATAGGCAAAATTATTCGACTAGCAACGAAGTTATTTCGAGCTAGTTCGAATTAAGCGGTAATTATCAAAATAAAAACACCCTTTCTTTTAAATATAGCATCTAGTGAGTCGAGCCCTAGGGTTATTTGATATTATTAGTCATTCGGTGAACTGAGGTCTAAGTTCATCGATGAACCGAGCTGTCGTCTGGGTCATATAGCTTAGTTAGTTTAGGGACTATCTAATCATAAACTAGCTAGATGACTGACTATGCCAATAGTGAGTGACTCGGGCTATGTCTATCCTGACTAAAGTTACAAAGGTCCTCTGCATGGTTAATTCCCTTGACCGCCTTTTTATTGTTTAATATGCATCTGGTCGGCCGTTTTCACAGCCTGTTTTCTAGCTACAACACTACCAATGGGGAAACAAGTAGAAAAAATGAGAATTTTTTTTTGGAAATTGACTACCAAAAAGAAAGTCGAAAGGCCGACGACTGACTATACTTCTTGTCTTCCTTAAGGATGAAACGAGCACGTGAGCTACGTAAACATTTTGCGTATTCGAAATCTGAATTGAGCAGTTCTATTAAAGATATAGAATGGCTCATTTTATCACTAGGAGTATTGAAATATTAAAAACATTATCACATTGCTATTCCGAAGATAACAAGTGTCATGAGAGAAACTACACATTCACTGGATGATACCCAGGACCGAACCCTGCAGAGATGAATCTGAATAGGAATACGAAGAGCCAAGCATATCGTGGACGAAGAAAGGTAAACGAGCAAACTGCTTATTGGGCCTTCGAAACAGTGGCTTTGTTTTCCCTTCGGCGCTTCAGCGCCTCTGGAGTGTAATCAGTGTCAAGACAATAATCCCACCACCGGAAGCTGCTGGCATAGTTGCCGATGAACTTCTCATGGTGGAGATCGTGGTGATCGGCACCAGCCCAGAAGGGAAGGAAATGATGCAGACTCCATGGGAATTCATAACCACTGTGAGCATCAATGGCCTGGAACAAGCGCAAGACGATCCAGATGTACATGGTCAGAATGTGCAGTTCACCTGTCATCGCACACCAAACGATCGGGCACCCAATGGTTCCGAAGCCCAAGATCATCACTTCAATTGGTGAGGCATATTCAGCAGCCAAGCCGAAAGGAGCCGAGTACTGGTGATGAATTTTGTGAATGGCCTTGTAGAGGGGACCCCAATGAAGCGCACGGTGGGAGAAGTAATGCCAGGTATCTTCCATCACAAAGAAAATTGCAATTTGATATGCCATGGTCCAGAGGGTAGGGAATGGGATCGAAGTTGAGAGTCCACAGAATTGTGCCAAGGGATGGAAGAGCCTAGTTTGCATGTTAGACCCGCAAAAGATTCCAGAGTATCAGAAGCATTCTCAAAATCGTACCAAATCTGGGGGAGTTCAACAGTGAAATGGCTCAAGAGCACGAATTTGGCGCAATCCCACTGTTCCCGCAGCGATGGGACCTTGTTCTGCGTGGTATTAGAGGTGACCGAAGGAACCGAAGGGTGCCACTTACACCCTGAATCTTGTATTGCTTGAACATGCCGAATGTGTCGATGAAAATCCAAGGCAGCGAGCGACCGAAGTAGACCAGTTCATGCATGGCGAATGACATGATTCCAGTGGCCAGGACATCGTTCTGCATCCAAGCATACCAGGCTGCCCACAACCTCTCTGCCACATTCAGCTCCGCATTGTACTTGCCAATCTCCTCGAATTGGTCCCAGTAGGTCCCCGAGGACAAGACCGTTGAATTCCTATATGGGAGGTTAGGTAATATGATAGGTTAAAGGACATGATCACCCTACATTGTCAAGGTCGTATATTTTGGAATGCAAAGAGAAGAAAAAGAAAAAGCTGAAGTTGAGAAGCCAGAAGTCAGAAAGAGCAAAGAAGAAGATGATGTGCTGTAAGACCAATGCTTGAGTGATTCTATCAAAGGGTTATAAGGAAAACGGGATCAGATCAAGATTATGGACAGTCCAATCCCGACGTGGCGAGATCAACTTTTTTTTTCTTTTCCCCCCCTGAACGTAGGGGTAAGGCCACTGGCAAGCCGATCTCCATCCGAGATCACCCCACTTGCATGAAATCAGGTAATGCGGATTTCGCTGCTTTTTGTTTGGTTGAAAAGAACTTGGAGACTAAAATAAAAAAAAACCCCGATTACCAAGACATATTTCTATACACATCTTACGATGATTTGTTGTATCTCTTTTTTTTTTCAGACTTGGGAATAATCTGGCCATGTTCTACTTTGTGTATGACCTCGTGACCCAGTATGTTGTCTACTGTGTAAGCTCTAGTACAGTTTTCACTATTTGCACTGTTTGCATGATTTGCACCATTTACAATTTCATCTGCATGACGACATCAGCCTTGATCCTGCAACTGTTAGTCCCTACAATGTCTATCCCTCTCTAGTTACGTACTGTGGTCGGCTTTTGAGGGTAGCTGTACCTCATACCACTGGAAGATCCTGGGATGTCTGTTATACGAGAGTGAGTGTGACACAATCCCCGAAAACCGCCTATTTATTCAAAGTATTCACCCCCCCCAAACAGAACTGTTTGTGGCGTCAACATTCAGCTTGATCGCCTTCAACAACACATTACAAACCCACTGAGATTGGAGGCTACGGAGTTATCCAATGAATCTCTTGAGTCAAATGGCCAACTGCAAAATCTCATCAACTCCATTTCGGTGACTTCTAAGACCCAATCCCTTTTACACCCCACTCGGTTGGCCGATCTACTTTCGGATACTTTCTCTCGCCTCCAAGTGCAGGCCACTCTCTATGAAGGAAACAATACACAACTCTCGTATCATGTATGGATAGTGGCCGCAAAGGCTGCCATTCAGGCATCGGGACTGGTCATGAATACCCTCCTAGATCAAACACTTCAGCTTCACGATGAGTCCTATTACTGGGGTGAGATGCTTGGGTCGATCTGGTACAGTGGTCTGTATGCCATTCAAAAGTCTCCGGGACAGTTCTGCCAGTGGACGAAGGATGCATGCGTCGCTCAAACGTCTCAAGGAACTCCATCCATTACTGCCAGGTGGTCTCGATTTTACCAGATTGCGTGCCAAAGTGCTTGGAAACTCGGAGGAAATTCCATGCGCGCCCAATTTTTGTTCCCAATCAGATCATCACGGGCTGAAATGCGACAAAAACGAGACTTGCTCTTGAAGATGAAAGACCTCCATACCAGCAGCCTTGGCCTTTTGATGGAGGGATGGCATCTTTTCAAGGCGAATGACACCGCGAATTTAAGCCCTGGGACAACGAACGCCCAATGGTGCGACGCAGTTCACAGAGCAGTGATCCTGATCGAAGCCATCTTTCATCACATAGCACTTGAGCCTAGCACTCACGAACTGGAACAGGGAGTATTCGCCATCCTAAAGGGGGATTTTGACAGTATTGAAATGCACGCACAATGTGAGAATCCCGTGCATAAACCTTTGGATTTGATTGAGCGACTTGTGCATATTCTTCGAGAGAAGCTGCCAAACCATACCACTTCAATGTCATTATTTATTCGTCGCCACGGGCGCTCTTCATGCATAGTCCGCTATTGGTTACCAGTCTCAACCGCTCTCCTTTTGGGAAGTGCATCGATGAGTTTTTTGGCCAACCGACAAGAGGAAATCATCCAGTCAATTATCGATATCGGTTCCACCACTATTGATTTCTGGGGTAATTGGGTTGTGCACCCAATCCGAAAACTCATTGGGACAATCAGGCATGACGAAAAGAGTGAAATTGCGATCATGAGTAAGAATAGCCTGCTGGCTGATCGGGCAAGTCTAGAGAGAATGGTAGTGGACTTTGTTCTCGATCGCCCGGACCTTCACCAGGGTATAGTGGCGGATACCACCGCCATCGTCAACTCTGTCAAGGAGGGTGATTTAACTCCCGTTCTCAAAGCATATGAAAGGGACCTGCGGTCGCCATTTGTTGGGACCTTTAGAGGCGATCTCATCCGTGCCCTCTTGATCCAGATCCAGAAGACGAAGGTCGACGTGGAAATTGCCATCAGCGGTATCGATGCTTTGCTGAAGAGCCAGGAGCTTGTATTCGGGTATGTTGGGTCTCCTGTCCAGTATTCTCTTTTCTAACTATTGACATTGTCTAGGTTTGTTGGGTTGACTCCTGGGATCTTGGTTTCCTTTGCAACTATGAGGTGGCTAGGTGGTCTTCTCGGCAGCCGACGAGGATTGCGAAAGGGCCAGCAGCAACAAAAATTGAGACGTGGATTACGGTATGACACTATCATACCGGTGTTTAACTTTTCACGAGGCTAAAATACTGATAATTTACGCATAGGAATATGGCTCGCATTTTGACCTCTTCTGCAGCTTTTTCCAACCGGACTATCGCTTACAAGGACTCTGGGCAATTGATCTGTGAGGCAGAGGCTCTCCTCCAACATATGAAGATAATTTCTGGAAGCATGCAGTACGAAGAATTCCGAGAAGACATCCAAGATCTCCTGAATGTTCAAAATGGAGTGGACAAGCAACTTCGCGTGATCGAAAGAATGAGATGGGCGTATTTTCAATAGGAAATGGTGGCAACCAGTATTTCCTAGAAACACCAGATGTACTTCATATCAGCATACATTAAACCTTTAGATATGTAGATAGTTGCGCAAATCATTCGTGTCAGTGCATAATTGCTGTTTTCTTTGGGTTTGGGAGCCCGGAAATGTATATAGAATTAAACAAAATCCGAGACTTCCGGTGGTATTTCCATGTTGCAAAATCAAGATACAGCCCCAATCTATTTAACATGAAAACAGATGGACATTTCTCCAGTCAATGTCAATTTAGATTTAAACTCTTAGGTGTTATCCCCGGCCCCGGGCCCACGATGCTGCTTACATAACACCCTGAGATACTTCTTACCGTCATCACATCCACTCCGTAGGTGGTGCATCGTTCTACCTCCTTTCCCATAAAACACCCCAAAAACTTTAGCTCATGTATGGTTGACTGTGGATACTTGCTTGAAGTATACAATCCTTTCATACTACTGCCCTTCTTATCAGCTTGGGCGGATCGTTTCCAGCATTTGTCAAACGCTCCTGATAAGTCCTCGGGGCAAGTTGGGAAAATCATCATCCCCAAACCATCTGATTGCTCCGATTCATCCTGCTGCAGCATCTACTTCTTCTGCTTTATACCAAACCACTTCACCAAAACCAAACCCCCTGTCACCTGACTTGACGAGTTTCCGGATCACCTCGGCCTCCTATCTATCTTCCACGGTGCTGCTAGCTTCGGCACTTGACTTCTACCCCAAATATCGCCATACTTAATAATGGCTGGCACACGGAATTATGATTTCCTGGTTAGTATCGACGGCCATTCAAACCTCAACAAGTTTCCTCACACAGCCCTGACAGTGTTAACTTCCTCATAGATTAAACTGCTGTTGATCGGGGACTCGGGCGTGGGTAAATCATGTTGTCTGTTGCGATTCAGCGAAGACTCTTTTACCCCATCATTCATTACTACAATTGGGATTGATTTCAAAATTCGTACGATCGAACTGGACGGCAAGAGGGTGAAGTTGCAGATCTGGGACACTGCAGGCCAGGAGCGCTTCCGCACTATCACGACGGCATACTATCGAGGTGCCATGGGTATTTTGCTGGTCTATGACGTGACTGATGAAAGATCATTCCAAAGTAGGATTATCCCCCCTCTCCTGATCAGCTGGCGGTGCCTGACCTTTCCCCCCCCCTTCTTTTAGACATTCGGACCTGGTTTTCAAACGTTGAGCAACATGCCAGTGAAGGTGTACACAAGATCCTCATCGGAAATAAATGCGACTGGGAAGAGAAAAGGGCGGTCTCTACTGAACAAGGCCAGCAGCTTGCCGATGAACTCGGCATTCCCTTCCTCGAGGTTTCCGCCAAGAACAACATCAACATTGAGAAGGCGTTCTATAGCCTTGCATCGGATATCAAGAAAGGGATGGACACCTCTAAGACCGAACAATCTGGCTCTCAGGGCGTTAATATAGACCAACAAGGCTCCGGTCCGAATGGCAACTCTGGGGGCAAGTGTTGTTAGCTGCTGTCTCACCACCCTCTGTCTCTTGCCCATGATCTCCCTTGTCGTGTCTTAAGCTACAACATGTTTCTTATTTCCCCGCGCTTTCTTCTTTCCCGTTGATATCTCGTTTTTGTTTTGCTCGCTACATTATCATGTGCCAAGATCTGAATGTCCAAGTTTTATGCCTGAAGAGTTGGCGCCTATGGACATCCGAGTATCATACAAATTTGTCCATATCCTGTGATGCCTTGACGTAGTTTGCCTACACTTGTGTTGTTTTTTCCTTTACCATCCTAAACTCTTATGATGTAGATAGATATATGTAGGTTACAATGTGATCCGTCCCTGTAGGTAGCTTGTTCAAACGGGTGACCCACTTTTTCTTTTGAATCTTTCCTGTCTCTTTTCTATTTTTTCTTTGAAGAATCTTCAGAATCCTCTGGATCCTTCAAATAGCTTCCTTTCCCTTTCTTTGTCAATAGACCAGGATTGAAGTCTTGATTTAACACAGGATAGCCCTATTCAAATTCACTCGCGAATTTGCCCCTCCCCCACCAAAAATTCTGGAATATTCGGATATTCTTTACGACTTTCAGTGTTGAGAGGTCTCATGCAGTAAAATCTTCGTTCATGATCTCAAATTTCTAAAATATCCAACGCAGATAAGAAAGAAAGAGAAAAAGACAGGACTTCCGAGAATATCACGCCAAGGTCCTTTTTCATATCATGTCCGACGCCCGCAGTTTTACTGCTCGTCCATTGTCAAAACAGCAGGCACGGAAGGACTTCAAAGATGCATTTCGTGTCTATCTATCTTCATCTTCGCTAGCTGCTCTAAGGCTTCAAACAGAGGGCATCTGCACGCTGAGGCAAGGCGATGGGCCGCCGCAGACTGCAATAGCATGGTACGCCTCAGAGAATATCCAGAGCACAGTCATGCAAATATCAAGGACACTCCAGGAATGCTATGACATTAAGATCGGAGAGAAAGTTTCTATCACCAGGGCTGAAGGCCCCCTAGAAGACATCGACCTAGTGACATTGGAGGACTGTTCAGATCTTGAGAAAATTGCCAAACATGGCTCAATTTCAGAAAGCGACAGATCCCACTGGGAATGGGCCCTGGATGAAAAGCTTCTCCGATGCGGATGTTTGACAACGGGCTTGACTTTTGAGCTGGAGCTTAAGGGCCAAGCCAGAAGTTTTCGGGTGGTTAACATTCATTCACAGAACCCTCGCTCTAGTCATACTCTTTTTCAATTCACAGAGGTCTCGAAGATTTCCCTTGGCCCAGTCACAGAAAGAAAAGAAGAAAAGTCTTCAGGCATAGCGGTGCAATCCACTGGCCTTGGAGGCCTCTCCCGCCAGATTGAAGATATCAATGAAAGCTTGTCCGATTTTAACATTGACCTGCGGAAGCCCATGATGCCATCATTCTATGAGAACAGCCGAGGAATTTTACTCTATGGTCCAAAGGGGACTGGTAAAACAAGTCTTCTAGAACAGATCGAGAAGGCTGGCTGGAAGCAAACATTCAGAGTCGGCATGTCAATTTTGGGGAGAAATATCAACGAGGGCGAGGTTAAGCTGCGCAATATCTTCCAGGAGGCGGCTCGCTCTAAGCCCAGTGTGATCATCATCGACCAGTTGGAATTCATTGCCCCCAAGCGAACCTCAATTGAATCCCAGTCCCTTGCATCTGTTCTCTGCGAGAACTTAGATGCTATCCGAAATACTTCGATTATTGTGGTGGCCGCAACAAGACACCCCAATCAAGTCGATGACGCCCTCAGAACTCCCCATCGACTTGGCACAGAAATTGAGATACATGTCCCTACCGCTCAGGATCGGGCTGAAATACTACATGCCATTCGTGGGCCAGTATCTGCCGCTGCCGGTTTAACCGACGAGCTGGTAGAGCTACTAGCAGAAAAGACCCACGGATACGTTGGAGCTGACCTTTTCGCTCTTCTACAATTGGTCTGTCGCAAAGCCCGACAACGACAACTGTTGGAACAAAATTCCATAGCCAAATCGGCCACTCCGATCGACCCATATAGCTGGCACCAGGGAGGTTCTAGCGATGATGAATCGGCCATTTCATTGGAGATACAAGAAGCAGATATTCTGCTTTCCCTGCAGGAGATTCGTCCCACGGCCATGCGGGAAGTATTCTTGGAAACCCCAAAGGTGAGATGGTCAGACATCGGTGGACAGCATGATATCAAAAAACGTCTCCAACAAGCCGTTGAGCGACCCTTGAAGGTAAAATCTGCATTCGAATCCCAGAAACCCTTTGATTTGAAGACTAATTTTCTTTTAACCCCCCTAGTATCCTCAACGGATGCGCAGGCTTAATGTGAATAGTAAAAAGGGTGTTTTACTTTATGGACCACCCGGTTGTTCCAAGACACTGACGGTCAAAGCCCTAGCTACAGAGGCGGGGCTTAACTTCCTGGCAGTCAAGGGTGCAGAGATTCTCAGCATGTACGTTGGAGAATCTGAACGATCATTGAGAGAGATCTTCAGAAAGGCCCGAGCAGCACGACCAAGTATCATATTCTTTGACGAGATTGACGCCATTGCTGCTCGACGCAGCAGTAGTTCGGGAGGAGTCAATGTTCTGACGACTCTGCTAAATGAAATGGACGGCATTGAGGAGCTCCGAAATGTCCTGGTCATTGCTGCCACGAACAAGCCTGATGTCTTAGACCCCGCATTGATGCGACCCGGGCGGTTGGACAATATTCTTTATATTGGCCCTCCAGACTTTGAGGCACGCAGGGAAATCCTACGCATCTGGGCCGATAAGTCTGTGGTGAACCCAGAAGTCGACTTGGATAATCTGGCATCTCTGACTGAAGGCTATTCTGGTGCTGAGATTGTGAGCATTTGTGAAACCGCTGGAGATGCAGCACTTGATGAGGAGGAGGAAACACAGCAGGAGCAGGATGTGCAGTGGAAACACTTTGAATATGCACTGGGACAGGTGCGGCGTCAAATCACGGAAACTGTCATCCAAGAGTATGAGAGATGGAGAGAGGGCTAGAATCAAATACGTACATATGTAGTCTTTGCTTGTGTGATGAAAGTTGTACGTCCTTGAAGTGAGTTGAAGTGCGTATAAAGTGTCCCTAGGTAATTACTGAATTAGGTTAGTGCCAAAATGCATAACATTCCTTCCCTTGACCTCTCTTCTCTGTCTCTCCCTCTCTTTTCATTGTATTTTAAATTCACCACTTCTATCTCTTTTTGACATTCCCACTTCAATTCTTGTTTATCTAGAGCTGCTTATCCTACATTTCCAAATTGGACCACTTGACGCCTTGTCATAGATTTGGCCCGCCGTGCGTTGAATCTTCAACATGTCCTTGAGATCACCTCGTGGCCAATCACCTCTACCTTCACTGGAGCAGGACCGAGTACGATCGCGGTCGCGTTCTTTCCGTCGTTCAAAGCCTCGAAGTGAAAGCCCATCCAGAAGCCTCACCCGGAGCCCATCACAAGGACGACGCGATCGCTATCATTCAAAACCCCGATCTCGATCCCCATCTCGTGGTAGAACCCGATCTCGCAGTCGCAGTCGAGGTGGTCGCCGTTACAACAGCCGGAGCGAAAGCCGCTCACTTTCTCCTAACCCTAGCCCTCTGAGAAGCTCCAAGGTAAGTGCTGATCTAACTATTCCTGCTGTGATGTTGCTGTCCACACAGTGGCAGCCACTACATCTACGAACTTGGAAAGCTGAATTTCCCTTCTTCTCAACAGATCGTGGTAGAAAAATTGACAAAAAACGTCACAGAAAATCACATCCGAGAGATCTTCGGGGGCTTTGGAGAAATAGAGTACCTCGATCTTCCAATCAACAAAGCGTGTAAGAATTGTTTTTGACTCGCCCTTCGAGACTTTTCTGTCTTCTAACATTCTTACAGTCATGACAAATAGGGGGACTGCGTACATTCTTTACTACGACCCCGCTGACGCGGAGGCAGCTATTGCCCACATGCATGAGGCCCAGCTTGACGGTGCTATCCTAAATGTCTCAATTGTCCTCCCTCGCCGCAAATTCTCGCGCTCACCACCCCCTGCGTCAATTCGAGGCAATGGCGGTCGCTCTAGATATGGCCGAGGGTCATTTGCAGGCCAGTCATCTCCGCCCAGACGGCACGGAGGCGGTCGACCTGCAGAACGCCATGACATCTATAGACCCCAGACTGCATCAAGATCGCGATCACCTGTTCGTTCTCGGTCATACTCCTCTCGATCTCGCTCACCACCGCCGCACAGAGGTAGTCCTCGCACAGACTCGCGGCATCGCCGACGCCGGAGCCCAAGCTATAGCAGCTATGGCTACAGCAGTCGAAGTCGCAGTCCAAACCGGAACCGCGGCCATAATCGAAATTAAACACCCAGAGTTTTGCATTCTCGGGTCTTGTTAAACGTGGTGTTCGCTACAGGCAATGAATTTCTTTCTCAAGTTATCCAAAACAACTAGTTCTACGCAACCGCCAATAAATTCTACTACCACTTTCAGCATAAGGATCACAAGACCTTGCAACCCTCAAGGTAGTTATCATACATACTCAGTTCTTAGTAAGTAATTTGGAATAGCAGTAGGAACAAGGATAACAAGTACAGAAGAACTAAACTTTTGTGTGCATAATTTGACTAGAATGTATCATCAGAAGAACGAACACCACCCGATGTACATAGACGCCAGTTTCTTCTTATCCGTTGCTTGTATGATCAATTCATCCACCTGGCCATCCACCGAAAGTGCAATGGGCTGCTTAGACATGAAGCCACGAAGTTTATTTCGAACATCTTCCAAGACGCCAGCTGGTGTGTCCGGGACATTCACATGGGTGCGACGCTGGGATAAAAAGCTCGTTAGGGAAGGACTTGTTGGGCACCGGAGGTGAAATTTACTCACTCTCTTCCCAATGAAATCGGTTGTTGGATCATGCAGAAATGTCTCGAGGACAGTCATCAAAGCATCCTCGTTTTGTCGTAGTAAGCTGAGCGTAATCTCACAAGTCCTTCTAAAGGGACCTATACGCTTGAAAATTAGCGTATGAGTTAAAATTGAGGATATCTTCAAACGAACCATTGTACCCGTAGGCGCCAAAGGCATCGACCATGTTATGGGTTAATCGGAATGGTACTACCTCGGGTTTCTCAAATGTTTGACCCTTGTCAAAGAGACAGTTGAAATCAACATGTAGGAGACCGCCTGTTCCTTCTTCGAATGAAAGGTTTTCGCCATGTCGATCGCCCAGACTTTGTGTAGAAAAAAAAACTTAGTTAGCATTATGGAACTTGAGACATCAGGCAAAGGCAGATAGAGAGCCCTCAAAACGTTGAACGGCGAGAGCGCATACCCAAGAACATATCCCACCATTGACATCACAGCAGAAGACCGTGTATACCTCAGTCTCGCTGTAAACCACGCCTCTGTTTCAGGAAACATCTCGATGAACCATTCATGAAGAACCGGCGGGAGCCTGCAACTGTTAGCATAGTGGACTCACAGTTGATCTTAGCACAGAAGATTTACTTCGCTAGGATTTTAGTGGTGAACAAGGGTAACTTGGCAAATGATCGATCAGCACAGATTTCGTTCAAATTATGCCTGATCTCGTTGTACTATTGCACGCGTTAATAGAACGGCCTTGGTATTTTGTTAGATGTTCTGCACCTACGTTTGGTGAAATGCCTCTTTCGCGCAGCAACTTGATGACGATCTCTCTCAGTGTGCGGAGGTTATCAACCCATTCAATAAGACCACATTCCTCGTTGAGAGGCGTCACAGCGTATGTTTTGATGTCTGTTCCGGGTCAGCCTTTGGAGTGTCTCAAATTTCATCGAATCACTTACACATGCGCCGCTTGCTGGATTCGACGTCTCTCTTAAGAAACCGGTTGATCATGTTGTTAAATTCCATGAGACGTTGATCCTTGCGTAAATCATCTTTGGGCTTGCAAAGTGCATTATAGATTTTCCCATCAGATCCTCGCAGGCTGATCTTGCGTGGCTTTTGAAGCGAATTCAGAACCTGTGCTTCATCCAAAACAGCTAATTATGATTAGCATGTCTTTGCGGGAGTAGGGATTTGATGACTGTACCCTCAATCGTTGTTGGATCCCGAGGGAAGGCCCTGAAGCCTTTGATGTACTCAATATTCTGACTAGCAGGGAGGCTTGGAATCAACATTGCCTGGAAAGGCACCACTAATCGGCATGGCGCAACTTTATGATTAAACCCTAGATTGCGGCCGAGTTGAACTCGAGATGACTTTTCCTCTACTGGAGCAAGGCAGAGTTGGAGTAGTTCCTCTGAGAACTTTGTACCTTGGGTTATCATGCGACGGATTTCGGATGCTGCCGAGGATTCACCCTTTGACTTGTTACCGTAGTCCTGAAATAGTTAGTCTCGCGTACTCTGTTTCAGACATTCGATACTTGCTATGATCTTCTGTAGGCAATTATAACCCCTCTTGGCTCGCTCCTTATTGGACGACTTGACAACGGCGAGGACTGTCCACAGGCCTTGCTGTGGGAAATTGCGAACTGCCTTCGCTACAATCCGTGTCAACAGATCATAGACTGTGATGTTAGGGTGACAGATCCTGGCAACCACTTGTGGTAGGATTGTAAACAACTACAACTGTCAGCTAGCTATTCGGAAAAATCGCATCTCATAAACCCACCAGAGCCGCCTGCAAGCGTTTGTCAATGAATTTCTTCAGTTGTGCATGCATCTCATCGAGGCTCTTCTTCCGCTGCGCTTGCGTATGTTTTTGAAATTCTCTAGTGTGTAATGAATCAATCATTAGAAGATGTTTACTAATGGCCACACTAGTAAAACTCGTTCTTACTCATTATCGCCTCTCTTCGGATCAATGGGCTGTTCAATAATCGAAGCATGTTCAAGCCAGAGGGTCAGAAGCTTGGGCAAGGTCTGGAAGACATATTTGGTCCCATATGTCAACGAGCGAAGATAATTGTCAATGACAAGTTTTGTGGCTTCTCCACTCAAGCTGTGTGATTATGGTCAGTGTAAGGAAGGGAATGGGAAGTCTGATCAACTGACTATATCTGAGCTTCCTTTCCCATGGGCTTGGCCTTCTCAGACTCCAGAATTTTGTTGTAATGCTTCCCCAGGTAATAGTGTGCCCTTTCCCACCTATCTGCCCATTAGAGCTGACTGTGTCAAAGCCGTGGTAATCCAACTTACTTTGGATACAACTTGATGGCCTCTCGGTATCTCTGGACAATGGCCTGAGAGTGGGTCTGACCAGCCCTGTCCGTCCATTTAGCTAGCATAAGATGAGCCTAGACGGGTTAGTGTCCTAGTCCATGTCACCTGTGTTATGCAACTTACGAGAGCAGTAGACTCATTTTGGTGCTGCCCATGACCTGAGAGAAACGACATGGCTTCAATCTCGACTGAAGAAGATGCACTCGGGGTAACTTCATTAGCAGAAATCGCACCCTCTAGGGTCTGAATAGCTTTTCGATGGTGTCCATCTTTCCAAAGGAGCCGCGCGTGTTCTATGGAAGCAGATCTGTCTTTCAACCGTGCTGCGTTGAGCATAGAGTGATACGCTTGACTGCTGAAATTGCCTTTCCTAGAAAGGCGAGCACTGGTGAGCCATGCAGCAGATAGATCAGAATCTGCAAACTCGCCCCTGTATCGTACTTTTTAGCTGTCTGCTTCATTTATTGTGGACCATGGACTCACGCTAGCTCCATTGTTGCTCGCCTTAATCCCAATAGGTATTGTTTATCGGAAAGGTAGCCACCCAGAACATCCAACCGTCGGTCTAGGGCACCCAGCAAGCCCGGGCGTGATTGACCTGATTGTGCTTTGGCAATGGATTCGACCTCCGACAAAGCATGTAATCGGAGCATGTCATCATGGCATGCTTGTAGCGATGCCACTGAATTTGTGGTAAGTGACCGGGCAACAGTGAGCCTGAGTTCATTGATCTTATCAGTAAATGCCTCGTTTTGCTTTCTACGAAGAGCGTCAAGGGCCGAGCCTATCCCAACGTTGAACTCCTCAGTTCCTTGTTTGGCACAAAGGTCAAGGTAACCCTCTAGCTTGTCCCATCTGCTCATTATCCAGGAAGCTTCAACCGCAAAGGGCAGGAACCGTGAAGCGGCTGACTCATTTTCTTTGAGAACCTCAAAGCGAGTGAGAATGGCGTCTAGATAAGGGTGAGCAAGCAGATAGAGGATGTAAAGACTGTCTCATGTTTGATCTTACCTTGTTGGCCAGATTCTTTAAGGCAGGTCACAAGATTCCATTGCGCATCGACATTGTCAGGTTCCTTCTCGAGTTGTAGCTCATACCAACTCTGCGCCGTGGCCCATCTCCCAGCTTTCCGGTGCTCAAGGATTTGCTGGTCAATGTCTAGTGCAGACAAGTGGCTTGAAATGCCTTCGATCCCATCAGGTTCGTCAATCTGGCTATAGATGTCTTGTAACCTTTGGTATAGAGGCTCGAGGCCGAATCTCTCTTGTGATTCTGGGTGGACCTTGGATTTCCGAATGTATTGTTCCCAGTGGAAAAGTGCTTTGGAAAATGATTTACATTCAACAGCTCGCTTAGAAATGATCTCGGGCGGTATTGAGGATACGAGATTTTCGACCGACTTGATCTGTGATGAGTATTTATCGATGAGCGCGTCACGGCTTTGATCTTTATGAGAACGACTCGTTTGATTGAAATTGTGATTGAGGCCATTGAGATGCTTTTTCTTTCCTTGCAGCCATCTAGACAGGTAGTCTAGTACTTCAAAAACGCTCTGCCGTCGAGGAAATGGTCATCGTCAATAATGAAAGCCAGTTCAATTCCATGGAGATTCTTACCTGACTACTGCTCATGATTGTTTCGCGAGCATTGTTGTTTGTCTCCGGAATAGGATGTGAAAGAACGCTCATCAGTTCGTATTGAAGATTATGCTGTTCTTGTACAGTCCCTCCAACGATACGGTTCAGGACTGCAAATGGTAGAAGGAATGAAGAGATAGAAATGTCTTGACCCTTCACAACACGACTTGATATTGAGAATACCATTTTTGCGTTGTCTCCATTCCCGGTTTGTAGAAGATCTTGTACCAGTGTTCGAAGCCACTCACTGTGAGTCAATTTAGGGGAAAAGAGTGGATAGTTGACCTCAGTATAACTGGTCACAACAGTGACCGTATAGGTAGATGTAAGAAATGGCGTAAGAGTGTTGCGAACACTTTCTGGAAGCTCCATCCAGCGTTGATACTTTTCATCGCCTTGCAAATCGCGAGAGCGCTGGGTCAGTACCGCATTCAGTTTACAAAATTTGAGCAGGCCTTGCATGGCCCATGCTAGGAAACCCTGAGCCCTAGTGTTGGAAGCAGACAAGAATGCATCAACCAAAACATGCTGGAGGAAGAAAATAATGAAAGCGACTGTCTCTTCCATTCTGTCAAAGTTGGACAAGACAAGTATATCTTTCTTCTCTTTGATTGTTTCAACTCGGTTTGGATCGAGGCAGCCGACAAGCCCTAGACATCGGGCCGAAAATAGAGTAATGCTGTCCGAGGTGGTACTGAACTTGACACAGCAGTCCAACAATGACCTAGTCAGCTGAGCAATCACAGGGTCTGGCTGTTCACTCAGAACAGAGTCATGAAGAAACTCCTCATTTGCTGACAGAAAAGGGGCCAACTCCATTAGAGCTTGTTCAACAACGGTGGCATTTTCACTCTGACAGCGTCTAATTAATGCCAGAAACTGACTTCGGACATCCATTTGGGCTCTCATGTCATTGATTTTGGCATCAAAGGCAGCCATCTCCGGAATGGATGCAAGAGAAGGCATCGTGTCGAAGGTATCTCGTACAAGACTCGAGTGATTAGTCAAGATATGATCGATGAGTTTACATGCGCTGTTCCTGCTCTCTTCGGTCAGGTTATCCCAATATCTGATCACAATCGCTAGTGTCTGATCAATTATTGGCTCAAGGTCCTCTTCGCCAAGAGAACTGATCAATGTCTTCCACGCGGAGAATGCATAATCACACAGTTCTTCAATCTCAAGCGCGGATCGAAGACATGCACAAACCTGCAACGTTTAGTAACTAGAATTGTCCGATTCCAAAGGCTGTATACATACCTGAGGCAATGCACTGCTAACATGACCCTGGGCAATCTTTATCATTTCTTCGATGGCTTTGATGTTTCTTCTTTTCTCTGCTAACGTTTGTCTCACTTGGAAGTCGTTAATGGCATTTGCGAATTGTGTGATAATACCGAGAACGTGCTCCTCGATGAAGTGACTTAGATCCGCTTTCTTTGACGAGCTTCCATGTGGAATCTTTCGCGGAACAAACGTGGCTAATCGATGGAGAGCTTGGTTGAACTGAAGGGACTCTTATCAGCGGCGCAGAAGGGGTGGAAAGAAACAAGCACATACCCTCTCTTTCTTTTGCTCGCCCGCATCACCCAGGCTCTTCAGCAAGTCACATGCAATGAGGATTGGTTCAATCCTCACCAATTCCGCCAAAGATCGACCCTTAAAAGCGGGATCTACATCTGCTAGAAGAGACATTATCATAGCCTCCGGATTGTCTGATTGCTGAGATAGGAGGAAAGCAAGAATTGCAGCCAGGTTGTTCTTCTCTGAGCAAACATCGAAAGCAGACTCGCCTTCGTTGCGACTAGCCCCGATTCTGCAAATGATGTCTCGTTTTCGTGTCAAAACTAGGTAGGGCAAGACATGGACTTCGGTCAACCGTAAGAAACCATCAACCTTCATGCCAAGCAAATCACATAGCTGTTCAGCCATGTACGGTCGAGATTGAAGGTTCTTGACCACAGTCACTGAAAGGGTCCTCCAGTAAGGCCTAAAAAGGCCAGCGGGTGTCAAGGAAAATTGTTGGGAAAGCTTGGACAACTAATAAGCTGTCACCATGTCTGTTGGGATGGAGAGCAAAGTTGTCACAATGGGAATCTCAGGGTTACTCACCTCGTTGTAAGCTACGGCGCAAACGTAGGGATTTGGATGACCAAGGTACTCCAAGAGCCGAAGGAGGATTATGTTCTTCTCTTCATCCTCCGAAACACTATGTAAACACAAGTTGTGAGCCAAGGTAACGAGATCTTGAGGAGTTGAAACGTACGTTGCTAGCTTGCAGAGTGTTATTATACAAGCTTCCTGTAACGGCATATCAGCTTTTCCGGAAAGATTTTTGAGCCACTCAAGCACAACAACGAAGTTGGCCCGACGAATATCTGTTGTTAAATTTGAGCGCACGAAAGCTACTACGGAATGTCTATATTTTAGTCAGTGTCAAGTGCTAGTGTGCCTTTGAGGATTATGGTACGCACCCAGTTGCAATACGCAATTCTCTGATTGAGCTCCGGAGTGAGTGAAGACAGAATTCTCCGGAGGCAGAGTTTGAAATATGCATTTGATTCGAGTTTGGAGCGTGCATCAAAATTCTCCTGAGTGTGACCATCGCAGATATCCGAGGACCAGGCGGACGTGTAAGCCTGGGTAAGATGAAATTGAATAATGACCATATCTCCTCAAATCCGGAGTGCTCCTCGTTTCCCGCACGATCAATCTGATACTGATCCGTATCGCATGTTTGACAAAAGAGTGTGTCTCGTTTGATGACCCCCGAGGGCTTCCTCATAAGCTTCCCTGCCGTTGCACAGCAAATTTTTCCTAGGATGTCCAAAAGCTCGGATTTTTTGTTTTCAGAAAGTTCGTCGTAGGAGGTTCTATCACAAAATTAGATCGGCATTTTACACGTAAAGAAGCATCCGTTGTCCACTCACTGTATGGAGGTGCGTAGATCTGCCATAGTTTTGCCACAGTCAGATTGAAGAATCGCCGATACATTACCCACAAGCAAATGAAATAGGCCATTATTGGTAGATCCTGTTGGTAGACCTGGAAGACACAGCCGCTTCGATGCACGAGCATATTCATTCGGCTCCGTTTGGTGTAAAATTCCGAATCTCTGAAATGCCGTGTCTGACTCCTCATCAATATCTCCAGGTGACCCTTTGTGTGTGTGCACTGTCAACGGGGGTGCTGTATCTAGAAGCTGAGCATACAAAGTCTGGAGAGGACTCTGATCTGGCGTTAGCTCGGAAGCCCACCTGTGCTAGAATGAGAGGGGCTTACCCAAAGACACGACTCAAGGGACTGGAAGCTGGAATTTCTGTCGTTGACTTCTGTCAACACTGGAAGTAGGTTTTCCCTCAATTGTTGCACCAGAGATTGAGAAGATTTTGCGGTTTCTGTCAAATCGCACAAGAAGCGACTTAGAATGACCTGAACAGAGGGCAACTTCCCTATATTCTCAAGGCTCAGGAAGCCACACAGGCATTGTGACCAAGTAGAGATTATGTTCGTTGAAAGCAGTCCAGCCAAAGTTGATCCTGGTACGCAGCATCGGTGTAAACATGTCAGATATTGCGAAGACACAACTGCATCTTCTGATGTGAGTTGTGCTCCTTTCATTTGCAACCACTCGATAATGACTTGTCTAAGGCGATGCAAGCTGTTCAAAACCCACGAGAAGTTTTGGCGAAGGATGAAATCATCACGTTTTGCACGGGGTTGCATTTCGCCCTTCGGGTTGAACGAATCAAGCAATCGACAGGCCAAAGAAACTGTCTGCGCAAAGCCCCCAAGTTCCACGTTGCTCTTGAATAATCCAGGGGAGAGACCTAGGTTTTGGGTGTCCTCAATAAGCGTTCCATTTGCGGTGGGTATCGACAACCCTTTAATGCGTGTATCCCAAGAATTGCTACGTTGGGACGTTTCAAGAGAGCACAGAATATCTAGAGACTGTTAATTTGGCCCAGGGTTCTACACCATCGGGGGCAAGAAACGGACCTGACGTGCAAGCACGCAGAAATGCAGCAACGGCATAGCTTGCAGGCAATGAGCGGACTTGCTTGAATTGGGAGCAAGCTAGGCTCGCACAAAGAAGGTGGATTTTTTCTCGAACGGTTTCAGATTTCCAGGTGGTGGCGAGTCGGATCAGTCGTAGGATTAGCCATGCGAATAGAGGAGCATGTCTGTCCTCGCCTAGAATGAGCGGGTCGGATGATCCCCACAAAGCCTGAGGGGCTTTCTCAATGCTGGCCTGAATTATATCTAAGCAGTCGAGGACTTGCCCTTCCCGATCTTGCTCTGATGTGCTCCCGTGCGGGCTAATCTCTAGGCCGGCCTTCAAGACAATGCATATGAGTTTGTTGACATCAGTGACATCTTCATCAACGCGTAGTTGACTTTGTATTTCACTAAGAAGTTCCTGACGCAGCTGTGCAAAAGTTTCCCGGGTGAGGTGTGATTCATTTCCCTGGGTTGCAAGATGCGGTACGAAACGCGAAGCAAGGATCGACGAGGTAGGTTCGGCTCTCCAAGCGTTCCCAGGCGCGGTGACCCGTTCATTGTCTCCATCAGTTGCCATATGGGACACACATGTTCATATTACCAAGTTTTAAATTTCGATTCCTCGTGTTTAAACAAGTTTCCAAGGTTGAGATGTGTTCATGTGGGTGTTTGAAGTGCGCAGATATGCGGAGAGAGTTGATAGGTCGATTGACACCTGAGGCATCAAGTGTCCACCATTGCATGCATATATACTACTGGTAATAATAACTGAGCGTAGGATCACTAGATCACGGTTAGAAATTCTATGAATTGGCCCTTTAAACGTCAAGTCAAGTAAATGGTCCGTGATTTTTTGTTGTGAGAGTCTTGTGCATTCACGTTAACTTGTAGTCAATGTTCAGAACTGTACATTTGTAAGAGATTGGGAAAAAATTAGAAAAAAATGGGTACATTGAGACATGTTAAATATGATCTAACAGATGCAATAGATATTCCAAATGTCCAAATATCCATCGTATCATGTTGGTCCTTGGACTGTGGCTCAGAGTTGGTCAACCTCACCTTGAAATTTCGGGTGCCACGCTCTTCATCCTCCTCTGACTCCTTCACTTCCTCATAACCGCAACTTACCCCACCAGTGGTTGGAGCTAACTCAAATAAATCCAAAATTTTAAGAGAAGACACTCTTCGAATTGGCTATGGAGTTCAAGGGTGATTCCGTTGTGGCGGAGGATTCGAGACATGGGCATTTCATGAAGCAAGCCTTGTTGATGGTACGAAACTTCTTGATGCCGGGGAATCAAAACATGCTCATTCATATTTCAGGGCGAGAAGGCTCTTGAGTCAGGCGAAACTCCCGTTGGTTGTGTTCTGGTGCACGACGATCAAATTGTGGGGTCTGGCATGAACGACACCAACAGATCTATGAATGTGGGTGACTTCAAAAGGTCTCAATGCACAGGAATTGCTGACATCCCCAGGGAACGAGACATGCCGAGTTTATGGCGATTGCAGACATGCTTCAAAGCTACCCTAGGGCAGCATTGCAATCTACTGATCTTTATGTTACGGTTGAACCATGTGTGATGTGTGCTTCCGCGCTGAAGCAGTACCGCATCCGCAGTGTATACTTTGGGTGCGCCAATGATCGATTTGGTGGCACTGGAGGTGTTCTCTCATTACACTCCGAGTCAGCGCATCCCAAGAAACGCCATCAACCGATCGTACAAGGCTAATCGAATTCAGCTCCTCAATTGACCTATCATACCCTGTCTACGGAGGGCTGTTCAGGGAAGAAGCAATCATGTTGCTTCGTCGTTTCTATATACAGGAGAACGAAAAAGGTAGGACTGAGTATGCACAAACAACAACCTCGATTACCTGCTGATAATGTGCCAGCTCCTAACCCCAGACCGAAAAAGAATCGAGAGTTGAACACTAGATTTGAAGATGGGAATGAAGCGCCATCAACTTGGTAGGCCTCGGATTCGGGATGTCTCTTAACGTTATTTTACTCGATATCTTCAGGGCTAGATTACATTTGCTTTTGTTACGAGTGGGAAATTGCTAATTCCAAAAGAAATCTCGAAGAGCGTCTGAACAGGAATCTGTATTGTGAATATCAATTGCGCCCCCCAAAACACACAAAATCGGATATGCTAGAAATCTGCAATACTGAACGGAAAGGCTGCCCATCATTCTTTTTTTTCTTCTTTCTAGCTGATGGTGTCTATTCATGAAGAGCCAGTGCGCTCTGCCTCCAATTCCTGCTCGGCCTGCTGGTAGTATTTGGCAGTGTCCACGCCATGCTGTTACAAAAACAATCAATATCATCCCCGTTTAAATGCCTTGAATTGGAAAACTTGCCTGGTCATGGTTGACAAAGTTGAACCATGGAACAACATGGATGAAAAGTTCAGAGTACCGCGAGTTGCGGGCTGCCATGCCTTGTAGGTGAGACGACATTTGGGATTTACCGTACAGAGGCTCGCCCTTCTTGACCTTGTCAACCATTTCACGAGTATCCATTTCGACTTCTCTAGCATTCTCGGTGAAGCCGTAAAAGCGCTCTGTGAAGTTGTGAGTTGAGATGTCATCCATGAAAAGCGTGTGAGGGTTGAGGTGGAGGGATATGGCTTACGGCAAGATCGCTGATAGAGAACGTGAAGACCGCCAAGTAGACCAACAGCTGTTGCAAGTCGCATAACGGGAGCGAAGCCACCACGGCCTACATGCGATGGGCTTGCTCTCTCCATGATCCAGAAAGAGATAGGAGCAGCGGAGGCCATGCCGCCAGCCACGGCCCAGTCGGAAGGCCGGGCATATCCGAACACCCGTTTCAAATGCCTGAAAAATTTGTAAGCTTGTGCCAAACTCTTGGAATCCGGGGTAAAGCGTACGGGTCGGAGTCGATCAACTGTGGGACATGTTAGCAAGAGACGTACGCAAACAACTCGGGGACGGAAAAGTAGCAGTCCCGGCTCATGGATCAATCATACCGGGTAGTCAGTGTTAGCCCGCTTAGAGGGCACAATGGCTGCTTTGTTATCGGTCGCCATGTTGCTTGAAGTGAAGGTGTGCAAGCATTCGAGGTTGAAGTTCTGGGAGTTGGAGGAAGAGGACGAAGCTAACCTAATATGGCTTAGAACAGTTAGGTAAGGCGGACAAGGGGACTGACAGCCAATAAGAGCGTAGATAACAGGTCACTCGCGTCACGCGTCTAAGGCCGCATCTGATTGATTGACATGGGATCCCAAGATAGTATTTCTCACATGAAAGTTGGACTACTCCAATCCTGGTGCTGTTTTTTTTTTCTGTTAAACATCCAGTTACCTGATCCTCTCAAATCGATCCCTTGACGTACTTGCATTTAAAACAGCGTCTGTGCGTGTGTGGAACTATGGCGAACGCGAACGTTTCAGACCGACGAAGCTCACCGACAGCGGGCGATTTGGATGACCTTTTTGATTATGACATTGGTTTGGATGAAATTATTCCAGATGAAAATGCCCCCAATGCCAACAGTGCCAAGGCCTCGGGGACAGGGGACTCTGCTCTCGGTTTGGGTCTTGATGAAGAAGTCAAAGTCACAAAGAAACGACACCCTGTGGTCAAATTAGACGAGGGCCGGTGAGTTCCGCGTGCTACCTTGTTTCTTGATTGAGATATCTCATTTTGCTTTGGGAGACCGCTTAGGGCTATAACAATGCTGATAAAAAGGCCAGTTTACTCTCACAACCGGGTATACCCAAACTGCGCCATACTGCCAGACAGAGGCTAAAATTCAAGGGCAAAGGACAAGAGGTTCGTTCTACTGACTATAAAACATACCTACGGTGTGGCTAGCGTAACTAACTTGAGTTCGTTATAGTTCAAGGATGCCGCACGCCTGCTCAACTTTTACCAGCTATGGCTCGATGATCTATTTCCACGCGCAAAATTTGCAGACGGTCTGGCAATGATTGAGAAACTGGGACACTCAAAACGCATCCAGGCTATGCGACGAGAATGGATAGAAGAAGAGAAACCGAGGGGTTTTAATGGCTCTGGACCTACACGAGAAGAGCTCGAAAATCGCGACCTCCTCAAGAATCCTGAAGATCTCAATCATAACCCAGCTGCGATGGTTCAGGACCAGGAAGGGGCTGCCGACCAAGATCTATTTCTTCCAGACCCAAACAAGAGTGCACGACCTATAATCAGCTACCCCGAGCTCGAGCCCGAGGAAGATGATTTGGAGGATCTTCTCAGAGAACAAGATGAGCCTATGACTGATTTTACCCCCGATATGCGTGTCTCATCTTCACGGGGACCAAACAATGATAATGACAACTATGACGCTGAATATGAAGCGATGAAGGAGCTTGGGATGTAGTTGTCAAGGCACCTTACCTTGTACGATAAATTTTAATGACAGCGATGGAAAACACTTAAACCTGGGACAAGCCCGCCGATTGCTGCTAGACCATAAGCTAGTTCCTGTTTAATCAAATCAGCTAGACCATGCATAGCTCAGGTAAGGATTGAACAACTGGACGCGGGCTGAGTCTAAAACTTGAATTGCTAGAGATGGCACGTTGGATTACATTGGAGAAAAGGAGTCAATTTCAAATAACATGCTAACTGAGCAGAATAACTGGAGATTGCAAAGCAACTCTTCATGTACTGCTCTGAGAACGAGACAACACGTAGAAGGCAGAAAAAGAGACATTAGATGTTACAATAAAGGATAGGCCAATGGAGTAAATTGACCTCATACGCTGGCAGGCTCTGTGAAAACAGAGAACTGACCGCCTGCACCCGCCCAGTTCAATTTCTTTCCACGAGTAGCAGTGTTGTCGATAACAGTAGCTACCTCGATGTCATCCTGTGTACCTTGTCCAGTTTGGTATGTAGCTGAGAAACCCCATGACCATGCACGACCTTCGGCATCGATGGCGAGAGAATGATCCGAGGCAGCCGCCACAACCTTAGCCTTGATGTCAGGAACGGGAGTAGGTGCGATCAGGATACGGGGGCGATCACGCTCATCCTTGATAACGGCATCATCGGAAAGTGTATCGATCTTCAGGCCGCTTTGGAAACCGTCGAGACGACCCCAAACCAAGCATTCACCATCACCGGCGATAGCAACTGAGTGATGAGCACCACCGCAGATTTGGGAAATATCTCTGTTAGAAAGTGATTCAACGAGGGTAGGATGCACGATAGCAGCTTCGTCGTCCCCGGCGCCCTCGCGGAGGGCCGTTGCACCGAAGCTATTCAATCCCCAAGAGTAGACATTGCCAGTGGTGTGAACAGCAAATGAGTGGTATGAGCCGCTCCCGATGTGGACAATGTTCTTGGGAAGACCGAACTCTCGAGGCTGAAGGCCATTCAACCTGTTGCGCTCCACGATCCGGCGGCCGAGCTGATTCTGTTGTCCTGAGCCCCACGAGAAGACGCGACCTTGATCGTTCAGGGCAAGAACGTGATTGGCTCCACAAGTCAGGTGTGTGATCTTCTTCAGAGACGAGATCAAAGTTGGGGTTGTTTGAACGCGAGAAGACGCGTCAAATCCGAGGATTCCATCGTTGCTCTAAAATGGTTATTAGTAAAATAAATCCGACCCAAGGTAGTCAGATCATCTTACTCTGAAGGTGCCCCAGCCATAGACCAGACCATCATCGGTCAGGGCAAAGCTTGCGCTATCGGCGGCGGCGACTTCAACGAAGACAGTGCCTTCGGGGAAAGCGGTGGCAGGGATAGCAGTAGGAATAGACTCCCGGGGGTTCAATCCGCTGTCTTCATCGTCTGACTCGGAATCACTGTCGTTTTCAATGTCTTTGTAACCGCCGTCCCACTCGGTTTCTCTTCCGAGCGCACCCTGGTCGTTCACGCCCCAGGAGAATATTTTGTTGTCATAGGTCAGAGCTAGACAGTGCATTCCGCCGACAGCAACCTGGACGACTCCGACCTCTTCAGCAGACAAAAGCTTGTTCAAACGTGGGCGCTTCACATCGATAACATTCTTGGCTGTGCCCAAACCCAGCTCACCAGAGCTACCTTCACCACAGACAAATACATTCAGCTTGGTCTTTGGGGCCTCATTGATGACAACTTTGGCCTTCGGCTTTGGCTGACGGGGTTGCGCGACACGGGATCTTTTGATTTCGCGAGGTTTCTCCTCATCCTCATCAGCTTTGCGCTTCTTCGTAGCAGAGGTCGATTTAATAGATGACATTTTGCTTGGCTTCTCAGTGGACTTTGTGGATTTCTTCGTGGACTTCGCGGCCTGCTTCGCATCAGGCTTTGGAGCAGACTTTGCAGGCTTCGTAGATTCTTTCAATGGCTTTTCGGTCTTCGTCACAGTAGCCTGTCTGGCGGTGGTGCGTACTCGAGTACTTCTCTTAACCGTCTCCGTCGAAGCCTCGACAGACTTGGACGTGTTCTTCTTAGGAGGCATTTTGCCTTAGAGTGAGAGCTATTAGGAATAGCAAAGAATGAGAAAGGACAGAGGGGAGTGGAATGTATGAAGCTGGGATTGAAAGAGTAAAAGGGAAAAGGTATGGAAAAGGGTAAAAAAAAAGACGGTGCCAAGCCAAAACACAAGCCAAAACAATAGCACATTCTCTTCCCAGCCACCTTCAATGGGCTGATTCATTTACATTCATTTACCTTCATTTACTTAGGTAGATTGATGTTACGCGTTATTACGTGAATATATGTTCAATGTTTCTTTACTGTTTATATCTATGAGTTGAATTGAATTAATGAATAAAATTTTTTTAATGGAATTATCCCCTTTTGAAGAGGACACTAAGCCATCAATGGGCTGTTTCTTCGCGAATCTTGCCGCACATTATCACATTTTGTCCCAATGGCATCCATTTAACATCTCGTGGATTCAAGGCAGCATTGGGGGTACCCTCTTGATCTTGTTTCGAGTCAGGGCTGACATTCACTCCACCACGACCAAGGTAGGTGGGAGCAACCGTCACAATAATCGAATCAATAAAGCTTGTATACTCTGGGTTCAACAATTCACTCAGAACCGTACCGCCACCCTCAATCATGACACTTTTAATGCCTTCAGATGCCAAGGCACGAAAGACGGCTTCCCAGCGTAATCGCCAGTGTTGATTGTATTCTACAATGCGGAGAAAATCTCCACCGTAGCCTTTGAGCATCACTAGTGTCTGGGGGTTGATTTGAGCCCCTGGAGATAACACAACCCATGGAGCTTTGCCTTTGCCTTCAACGGCAGTACGTAACATTCGGCATTCAGGATGAATAGGCCATCGGCCCATAGGGTCAATGATCACTGGCCGTGGTTGCCACATTCTCCCCAGGCCTCCAAATCCACCAGCCCCTTCCAGACGGCAGTTCAGACCTGGATTATCGGCAAGAACAGTCCCTACTCCAACGAGAATGGCATCATGCCGGGAGCGAAGGTAATGGGTCATCAATTTGGCCTCCGGTCCAGACAATACCGTCTGCATCCCTGGTTGAAGAGAGATCTTGGAGTCCATTGACGATGCGTATGACAATGTGACATGGGGTAATTCTCGGCGCTCCGAGTGATTGGGAAGATAAGGATGTAAGAAGTCTAGCGAAAATTGGGGGAATGATAGTGTGTCCGGGGGCAAAGCTGACGGGATCGAGCTTGGTTTTTTTTGGGAGGAAACCTCGTTGACACCATCAGTGCTTTGAGTTTTAACAATACCATGACCCTTTTGGTATTCATAGCCCTCGTGGGCAATCAGATTCACCTCTGGATTTTGTATACGCCACTTGGCGGAGATGTTGCGGACGTCCGTCACCGTGAAGAATCGCCCTCCAGCCTCCCCAAGCTTATCTGGTTCTTCTTGGAATTTTGTATAGATCGAGGAAGGGAGATATCCCTTCACAGATTCTTTGCGCGCATACTCCATTAATCCCGAGTTCCGCTTTACTCGGTCAATGTAGTCAAGGTCATGCGAGTGGATGTTGCAACTTCCCGGCGTTCTCGCGATAGTGACAGTCGAGTATGCACCTTCAAACCGGACAACCTTGATTTGAAAATTGCAGATTCCCCCCTCTCGGACTCGCTTTTTGCGAGGGCGCTTGCCCTCTGGCAAGGGGCGAGTTTCAGATGTGCGGTGTGTTGGACGCCGTAGACGGCACATGTAATAATCGGTGGTGCAATGTCCCTCTTTGCTCGCATTAGATCTTTGTTTGACCCATACATTATCAATAAAAGGCCAGTATGTTTCAAACTCTTCAAGACTGATTTCTATCGGGTCCTTGCACTCGAATAGGACCTTGCGGATGCGCGCTAGGTTCGGCGGATTGCTGAAAAGGCTAGAGGTAGCCTTTGCGCCTTGACACGTTGATGCGTTGCTGTGAGCATCTCCGATGGTCGCACTGCGCTGTGTTGGCGTATTCTCGTCCCCGTGTGATGCTTGTTTATCAAGGGCACCGGATAGGTTGATCAGGGTTGTGGTTTCGGGCAGGTCTTCGTCCATCGCATCTCGTGTACCACAGGCTCGTTCGATCTCTTGGTCTGTTCCCAAGACGTCTTTCGTCTGCACGGGAGCTCCGTTTTGTGAGGATCCTGCCTCGCTGCCAGAAGCCTCTAAGCTCGAGACAGACGCGTTGGAGGCATGGTCCATCCTCGGGAAGCGTGGCAGAATACAATTTTACCTCTGTATTCCCAGCTACGGCAATGAAATGGCCATTTCACTGGGGAGTAGCCCCAGATAGATGCAAATATACGATGCAGAGCAAAATGTCGGAGAAGGAGCCTCGGGTAGGATTTGGTGGGGCGGAAGCATGAACGCCCGGACATGTTACGTTCTGAGGTCCACAGGTAACTAGTCAACTGGTTCCTCAGTACGGAGTACGGAATATGTGGCTAGTAGTATGTCAAAATATCACGAAGGTACTACCTACCAGAGGAACATAAACTACAGATTGCAACTAGATTCAGGTTTAGAAACCAAATAGAAATCATTAGAAAGATTGACCATTGCATTCTCTTCAATTGCATTATCAGAGGAATCTCAAATCACATTTAATATGCCCCGATATCCGCCCCAGCACGAGCAAGAGTCTCATAGACCCGTGGCGGCAGTTTGTACTTGACCATTCCCGAGAAAATCATGAGATCCTTGGCCATGACAAGCAAAGTATCCGCCAATCCCTGCCGCACTTCACTGTCGTACATCCCAAAGGTACGTTTTTGGCGTTCATAGCCAATACATGTGATACTCCACATGATGACAGGCCCGACGTTGCGTGAAATGATGGGCGGTAAAGCCGAGAAGGCTTGGGCCGTGCTTCGAATGTACGACACGGAGCCCTGTGCTTGCAAAGGGAGAATACCCAAAGCGTTGATAGCCTGTTACATTCATTAGTACTTCAACCATCAAGTAAAAACCACGGGTTAGAGACACATACATCAAGAGCTGGCGCCCATCTGCCGGCTTCAACCTGGGTCTTAGCTTCCAACATACGCAGCAGCAACCCACAAGCATCGCGGTTGACTTGTCGGATTTGTCCATAATACATTATGTCCGAATCGTAAAGACTGATCATGTTCTTGGCAAGCATGCCTGGATCATCCACAGCAGTCAAACTGAGGCTGCTTCCGGCTTCCAACGCCTCTGGCTCATCTTGATTTTGGTCGACCCTTGGGCGCAAGGGTTGCAGCTTCGGCATGGCACCGCCTAGCTCAATCGCGATCGCATCTGACAATGCACGGTTGATAATGTCAATGACACGGTCATAGTTCTCTGCCAAGTGGTAAAGAAGCACAGCATCCGTGATTAACCCCTTATCATCCGCCACGGCAGCAGCTTGAACCGTAATGGTCTTCAAGAATTCTTGCTGGTCGACCAATTTGATCAAATCGAGACGTTGCTCTATGGCTCCCTTGAAGCGTGTTCCGTCCGCCCGAATATCGCCTAGCAATTTGGCGAAGTCCCTGGTCTCTAGAATGAACTCTCGCAGGGCCTCGTGGCAGACTGATGCTTGAGACTTGCCCAGAGCACCTGGAAGATCTGCGTTGAGGCAGATCAGCGTGAAGTAATCGATGGCAGCTTCAACAAATCCAGTGCGGAATTCTCGGGTGTACTGGGTCAAAAGATATCCGAAATTGATCTGGGGATATTGCTTGACGGTAAAGGAGACTATACACAGCAAGGAATTTTGATGTTAGCAAGGTCATAACGTCATGGCAGAAGACAAGCTTACGAATTTCTTCACCAGAGGTGTAGAAGTCGGACACACGTAAGAGGCCATAATAGGACAGGGCGATGGCGAAATGAACGGCAGTGACTGGAGCATAGGTGCCGAGGTAATGCACAGCCTGCTCAAACATTCCTCCCAATATCTGCAGCAGGAAGTAAGTTCCATAGCCACCGGGTCCCTCGTTGCCCTTGGTGAAGACACGTTGGCCAATTTCCTGAATGTCGGTCTGAATATCCTCTAGACCAAAGACGTCACCTGCAACCTCTTCAGCGCGATCGTCCTCTCTTGCAAGGCTGAATTGTAGCCACATCCAGTCCTCGACGGTCTGCTTTACACCATCCAAGCGACGACGCGAGAGATCACAGCGACCAATGATCTTGTAACATGCCATTCGGTAAGGATCGACAGTGTTTTCAGGTGCGTTCCGTGAGCGTTGCTGAAACTCGCCGTTGATCTTTTGCTGCAAGTCCCGGGGCAGTCTCCTGCTCTGTGCGTAGGTTGTCATGTAGGTCACAAATTTGTGATCTAAAGACCGGAACCCGCTGTCCCGACTAACATATTCAGCTGCCTCAGTCACAAAACCACATCGAAGAAGGTAGAAGATGAGAATCCAGCAGTAGTCTTGGTTCACCATTTGGAGCTCAGTCCCGTCAGGTGCCAGATCCTTCCTTGCGGCTTGAAGACGGATATAGGCGCGAATCTTGTTGACCACGGTCGGAATTCCTCCCAATTGTGCTTCCCGGGGGTTTTTGGCAATGGCGGTTTCAACTTCGTCGAAGAATGTGCTCTCGAGGAAACCCCTGGAGCCTTCAAGAATTTGCTTCTTCAGTTCAATTGATTTGAGAGATTTAGACGATTCTTCAAGGTAATCTTCGGCATACTGTCGCTCCTTCACTGCTCCGGGCTCCGATGTGTTCATGATGTTTGGCTTTTCGTGGACAATTCTTATCAAGGCTTGGTATGCATTGAAGAGTTGCCGAGGTACCTAAAAAATAATTAGCTGCTCGAACATCTATGTCGCGGGAGAGCTTGAAACTTACATCACCACCGGCTTGTACTTCAACATATGAAAACTCGTCGAGTATGGGGTAACATTTTCCCTGAAGTCTGGCGAGGTTTAATTGTTGAACCTTCTCGGCGTAGTGACCCATCTTTTCCCGTTGGAACCTGAAATCAGGTGAGTGGGCCGCAGTTCCTACATTTCGCTCTACTGGGTCTTCAAATATTTGACGGCTTGCCAAGCCGGCCCCAGGTGTGCCAATCACCGACTTCTCGAGGCCGGAACGCCCGTATACGCTTCTGCGGGATACGGTTGAGGGTCCGTTGGCTGGGGCAGCTCCGGTTTGCTTAGACTGTCTTGCCGTCCGCCCAAAGGCACCCCTCGTGGTAGATTTCAGCCCTCCAGCGCCGGTAGCGTCTTTCTGCGATAATCCGAAGTGGTGGAATATTTTTTCACGCTGGTCTTCCCAATCCATGTCCACCTTCTCCTCTAGAAAAGCATCGAAGTCCCGCTGAGCTCTGGTGAGACCCTCTGCGATCATGACTTGTCGGCCACGTTGCTGGATATTCCGCAAAAATCTTTGATTGTCTGGGTCAAATTGGTCCAGTTCCCTCACCGGGGCCGCCAGAGATGCCTGAGGATCCATGGATTTGAGGTCGCGCAATGCTTGCCCGGGGGATATGCCGGAAGCTGCAAGAAGATAATGACTATTGATAATATGGCAAGGTTAGCCAAGGTCAATAACAAGAATGGTGTGACAAGGTGGTGGAGGTGAAACTCACGCTTTGGTGTTCTTGCCGTTTGAGGTATCCTTTTGTCCCGCGGAGCCTAGCTCTCGCGCCTTCCTTCGGATGTCGTCCAGGCCTAACTGGAGACTGGGCACGTCTTCGAAGTTGTTGTTCTGAATAACCGATGACAATGGTCGCTTTTTTCCACGCTCTAATAGACTGTTGAAAAATGCAGGTTGTGTTGACTGACTTGGAGGTTGTCCTTGGGTCTGCGGGTTGCTAGCTTGTTGAGTCTGGCCGAAGGTTGGGGCTTGAGCGGGCTGTTGCTGGGCCTGAGATTGACCTCCGAACAGAGACGGTGTTTGCGCGCCTTGTGCACCTGTAGCAGAAAATTTTGCGAAAGGACTTGTGGTCGAATTGTTTGCGCCAAAGAGGCTGTTCAACTGTGGGGATGTCGAGGCTCCAAGAGCACCCCCTCCGAAGAGAGAACCGGTGTTGGAAGCCATGGAGGGCTGGTGGGTTCGAAAACTTTGGAAAACCCAAAAAAAAAGAAAAGCTAGGTACGATTTCAGCGAAAATATTCTCCAAATTAGTTCAATTCGAACTGACAATTAAGCAAACAGGTGCTGATCAAAGGTCAAGAAAACTGCACACTGAGAGCTCTGTAACGGCAAAGAACGACAGTGGATTTTTTCCAGTCTTCGGATAGCAAAGAACGGAGCTTCAGCGGAGCTCTACCTTTATGGCGGTAAAATAATGGCCCGGCGATTAAGAGTCAATAGGTGTCAAAAGCCAATTGAAGAGGCTGTTCCCGTCTAAACAATTCAACCTCATATTCCGGATCATTAATTGACCGATGGCCCGAAGTCCTCTTGTTGCTTTGTTTCTCAATGGCCCGAAATCATTGATCCCATTTAAACCTTCCGTTCAGTCTTTCAATCAATAATAACGTTCAATACATTGATACGCGAAAATGCCTGTGTTTCAATCCAAAACCTTTCGTCGAGCAGCTACAGAATCATCGTCCCTCGGTGAACGGCTCGGTGCTTTTTACCGGGCACGATTGGCTAGACACCCTTTCATTCTCTTCGGACTTCCATTTATGGCCGTTATTGTAGCTGGGTCATTTGCTTTGACACCTGCTGCTGCCTTGCGATATGAGCGGTATGATCGCAAAGTCAAGCAGCTCAGTCAAGACGAAGCATTTGACCTCGGACTCAAGGGTCCCGACGGGGAAGAGGGTATCAAACGCAACCCGCGGAGGAGGATTGTAGGCGACGAAAAGGAGGAATACTACGTATGTATTGTTAATTGATCTTGAATTTTTGCCTGATATTTAAACTGAATACTAATTAATATGGACGCTTACAGAGGCTCATGGCAAAAGATCTCGACCAATGGGAGCAGAAGCGAGTAGAGCGATTCAAAGGTGAACCGGATGGAAGACTGTAACGCTTTGAATTCAGATACCCGAATGCTTCTGGTATAGTCAAACGCGACGAAAGCACATTTTCCTCATGACCTCACCTAGCGTATGAGCTCATTCCTATGTACATTTATGTACATTACCGTACACTGCTGTGTGAAGATGAAGGAGGAGA